GCCGGACCCGGGACCCGCCGCCGCCTCCCAGCCCGGGGGAAGCGGGGGCACTCCCGCCCCGGGCCCGGGGAGGGTCGACCCCCCGCTGGGGCCCCGGAGTCACAGCCGTGGGGGCGGCTGCGGGGCCAGGTGACAGCAGCTCCGGGGCGCTCGCAGAAGGGACCGGCCGCGCGCGGGGGAAAGGGGCACAGGGCGCTACGGCGCAGGGAGTGCGGGCACGGCCGGCGTCAGGCCCACCTGGCCCCTCAGTGCTGGAGGCGCGAGGGAGAGGGACGGGACGACCCCGCTGGGCCCTGGGCACTCTGCCCCTGGGTGAGACGGGCCTGGGCTCCACCCCAGCCCGGGACAGCTCGATCACACCTTCCCAGGGCAGCCTCTGCAGGCTGCTGCCACCTGCCCAGGGTCCCCAGGTGCTCTGGCCTCCCCAGTTCGACTCAGCACCCAGCTAGGCCCGAGGTGTCTCCCTCCAGGTGCCAGGGCATCGTCTGCATACGCAATCATTGCATGTGCACCCGTGGGCACTTAACCTGCTCTGCGTCTCCCAGGCGATGGAGGCTGGCAGCCCCGCGCTCCTAGATACGCTCTTTGAGCAGGGGGAACTGCATCCTGGTGCCATGCTGCCTGGCCCAGCCCCCTTCCCTGCCTTGGACCCAGGTCCCAGGGGCTCCGAGAAAGCGCTGGAGGAGTGGGCAGCCAAAGGAGACCAGGTGAGCCAGGACTGCGTGTGTGGGAGCAGGCCAGGGGGTATAGTGCATGCAGGACTGCAGCCAGGGACCTGGGGGGTGGGGACGGTCACTGCTGCCATTTGGAGAAAGCACCCTGGGCACGGACAAGCAGGGCCTGGCTTTCCCTGGCCCCTGCAAGGCAGCAATGCCAGGTTCCCAGCCCCCCAACAACCACAGGGGTCACCCCTGCATCACTTGCCAGCCCCCCACACCTACCGCCCCCAGCTCCTACCCCTGGCATCCCCTCTGCAGAGGCTGAACAAGAGCGAGCCTGAGGATGTGCTGGGGCTGCTCATCAACCCCAATGCCGTGTACCATGTGGGCAGTGCCTCGGGCTCCCCAGACAGCGACAGTGGCATCTCGGACATGCCCCCCACCGGCAGCCCCCCGCATGCCATGGCCCACCAGCCCCAGGGCCCCCCGCCTGCCATCTACCAGTTGGTCTGTGACATCGGGGGGCTGGAGAGTGAGCCCCTCCGCACCAACATCTCCATTCAGCTGGGTCAGTGGAGCTGGGCTGGGGTGGAGACCCTGGTACTGGCCCCGCAGAGGGGCCAGACAGACCCCTCACTGTGGTGGTGGGGGGTGGAGGGGGCAGGTCCTCTCTGCAGTGGGGGCATAAGGAGCTGCCCTGAGGCCAGCACTCCCCATACAGCCCATGGCAGGTCCCTGGCAGGCTGTGCTTCCACGCACCCCCCCAGCAGAAGCCATGACTGCCCTGGGTGCTGACCTGTGTCTCCTGGCACAGATGACTGGTCATCCCCAATGCTGATCCCAGATACCTGCATCATGGAGGAGCTGACTCCCATGCCCGCATTGGACTCAGCTGGGCCTGGCACAGTTCCTGGGCTGGGCAGTACCAGGGACATGCAGGTGCCCGAGGTCCTGGTGAGTCCAGCCCCTCTTGAACCCCCTCAAATAATAGGGAAATCCCTGCACGAACATCCCTGGCAGTAAGAGCCCTCGGAGCTCAGCTGTTGCCCTCTGCCCTGGGTCAGCGTAGGTCCAGACTGACTGGGGACGCAGCCCCCAAGCTGGGAAGAGTGACCCCGCTCCTACAGCTCCTGCTTGTCTCCAGCAGCTGCAGTTCCCAGATCTGCTCCTGACAGAGGAGGAGAGGCGGCTGCTGACACAGGAGGGGGTATCGCTGCCCAGCGGCCTACCCCTCACCAAGGTACCCAGGCAGGGGCAGAGCATAGCACACGTATGCAACCACTAGTGCGAGCTTGCATGTGGCCCGGCTCCCGCACTCTGCAGCCACCAGCTGCCGGGGGCAGGTTCAAAGGGAAAACAAGACTGGGACTGGGTTTGTGCCCCCCACTGGCCCCAGGCCTGGGACCCCTGAGCTGTGGGGAGCAGAGGCATCAGCTTGCCGGGCAGCGTTGCAAAGCTGTAGGGCACCATGTGGGTGCTGAGGCAATTTCTGCCCCCGCAGGCAGAGGAGCGGATCCTGAAGAAGGTGAGGAGAAAGATCCGCAACAAGCAGTCAGCCCAGGACAGCCGGCGGCGGAAGAAGGAGTATATTGACGGACTGGAGGGCAGGTGAGGCGGTGCTTGCCCCTCACGCACCCACAAAGTGGGCAGATGTGGGCGCTCGCTCACACTGCCATGCACACAGAGGGGCACAGCCTGCCTTGTCTGGAGCCGATGGCCTCAGCCTCAGCCCTGCAGTGCCAAGCAGCCCCCTGCTCTGCCCACACTGATGCACCTGGGCTGGGCAGGGGCACTGGCAAGAGCCCTGACCCTCTCCCCTCTGCCTAGCAGGGCGGCTGCCTGCTCAGCCCAGAACCAGGAGCTGCGGAAGAAGGTGCAGGAGCTGGAGAGACACAACGGGTGAGTGCAGGCCCCACTCTCCTGCCTGGCTGGGAAGGAGCCCTGGAATCCTGGTTCCCCGGTCCCTGCTTCTCTCCTGAGGGAGGTGCATTGGCAGAGCAGGCAAGAAGTTCCCAGACTTGCCCCCAGGGCCCTGCCAACACAGCATCTCCCTGCAGGGCCCTGCTAAGCCAGCTGCAGAAGCTGCAAGCGCTGATCAAGCAGACGTCCAACAAGGCAGCTCAGACCAGCACCTGCATCCTGGTACTACGTGGAGCTGGGCACGTGGGCTCACATGATCACGCCAGACACATGCTTCCCCTCCCCACCATGCCACTCCCCCAGCTGGGCCCGCACACCCCCCACAACACACGCGAGCCACAGACATGCATGTCCACACACAGCTATAGCCCAGCCACACACCGCATCCAGACACAGTGCTGCACACACACTGATGTGCCCTCCCCATGGGCATGGTTCACCACCCACTCCAGGCCTCTACAGCTCCATCCCCCTGTCCCCACCATGTTTCCTGCAGATCCTGCTCTTCTCCTTGGGACTCATCGCCTTCCCCAGCTATAGCCTTTTCCACGGTGGGAGGCAGGCAGGCGAGGCCTACAAGCCCAGGGGAGGTAAGAGGCAGGGAGCCTGGAGGGAGCAGGAGGCTTGTTCTGAAATAGAACCGGGGGGAGGCAGAGCTGCCTGGGACCCAGCAGGTCCCCACGCTATCCCCTCTGCCCCAGCTGGGCCCTGATGACTCTGCTTCCGCCACAGTGATCTCCAGGAACATCCTAGCCCAGGCAGACCACTCGGCCCCGGTGGAGGAGGTGCCTGAGCCACCCCGCAGTGAGCAGCCAGCGCTGGAGGGGGCAGCTGGGAACCCCAGCCTAGGACAAGAGGTCTCCAACATGTCCAACCCGGCCCCACCTGCAGACCCCCGGGCTCAGGCCTGGTTGCGGCAGGCGCTCCCTGCGGGGCTGCCCCATGCCAATGAGATGTGACGGGGCAGCCGGAGCCCAAGCAAGCCCTGCTGGTTGCGGCCACAGAGAAGCGGCTCCAAGTACTGCCCAGAGCCCCCCAGGAGCAGTAGGGCCCCCTACACTGCTGTGCCCTGTGGGGTCCGCAGGCCCCAGGGTGCAGCACAGGCACAAAGCCAGAGTCCCATGACCCCAAGCTGCAACTGGCCCTTTCAGAGCAGGTTTCTGCCCAGCAGGACCTGCCAGCTCAGGCTGGGCTGAGCCAGGCCCCAGCAGCACTGAGGGGCTCTGCAGCTGGCCTGGTAGCCCAGCCTCTGGGAAGGCACTGGGCAGGGCCCTGCTCAGGTGAGAGGGTGGCAATCTTGGTTTTAATAAAATGTTATTTTGTTCTTCCAGACTCTGACTCCATGGATAGTGCTGGGGCAGTGGGAGGGATGTTGGGTTCCTGGCCATGAACAGGAATGAGGCAGCCTGGCTCCAGCCCTGAGCACAGCACCCCTGGGGTCTGGCCTGGGCCACACCCTAGTGCTCTCAGCCCTGGGAGCCCCAGGCGGTTTTCGACTCCCACCCCAGAAAGAGACAGAAAGAGCCCCCAGCTGGACACTCGATCCCTGGGGCCAGTCTGTGGGTGCCTGGTGCTGGCAGAGGGGGGAGCTGTCTGCAGGGCGCCAGGCCCAATGCCTGCTCCTGCCCTCCTCAGCCCCTACCGAGACTGCCCATGGAGCAGACCCCATAAGCTGCTCCACAGAGGAGCCACAGCCAGCCAAGCACCACACCCAACCCACTGCTTCTGGGCCTGGGCTCCAAAGCAAAGGAGCCAGGGAGGAGCCTGTGCCACACCCTGAGCAAACAAGCCAGTACCTGGAAGGCAGCTACCCCCACAGGCCTTGCTGCTGCTGCCTCCACTCTTTGGACTTCACCCTCCCTGGCTTCTCTTCCCCTCCCCCTTCAGCCACCAGGTCACCACGAACCAGAGCCCACAGCCACAGCAGGCTCATCCGCACTAACCCCAGGACCCTGGCGGACACCTGCCATGGGGAGGCATGGGGACAGCAGGTACCGACACACCAAGGAGCATTTCTTGCAGTCAGAAGTGGCATTTATTGCAGGGGCACCTGCCTAGAGCACATGGGCACCAAGTTGGCTCCCAAGAGCCCAGCGCAAGCCTTGCCCCCTTCCACGGCCGCCAGCCAAAAGGGAAACGGAGCTACAGTAGGACAAGACTGCGGCTGCTGCACGAAGGCCAAAACAGGCCAAGGGGGAGGCCTGCTGGGGCAGGCTACCCTCGTTTAGTGTCCCAGGGCTAGACTCCCATAGTCTCCAAGGAGCAAGCAGGGCAGCTCCCAGCACCTTCAGTCAGTGTTAGCAGCATGATGTACTCCCAGAGGAGCAAGGAGCAGAGCTCAGTCCCCAGCACAGATTCCCTGCCACCACGGCTCCCAGACACAAGCAGAAGGCAGGGGCTGCCACGGCTCCCAAGGCAGCAACACTAGATGGACTCAATCTGCTTGCGAACCTTCTCCAGGGCCTTCCTGTCCAGCATCCTCTGGCGGCACACGACCAGCAGGGCGAAGATCACAGCCACGCCGATCATGGCCCCCTCGAACCTCCAGAAGGCACGGGCTTCCATCCCCGCTGAACGGCAGCTGCCGAGAGGAGACGAGCTGCAGGGCCGGGACTTCCAGGGTAGGGAGGCAGATGCCCCTGGCACCCCACCGAGACTCGCCTGGTGGAGCCGAGGGGCCGTGGCCCTCGACCCAGCCACGAGGCTCCCAGGGCTCCACTTACCTCTTGTACTCGTCCTTCTGGGACA